GGCCTCTGCCTCCAGTCTTGCCGCTGCTAAGTCTATCGTCCCTGAGGCACCTGGGGCCACGAGGAAAGACAGTGCTCCTGTTCAGATGCTGAGTCTCCCACCATCTTCGGGCCAGATCCTGGAAGTGGCGCGTGGCAGTGAATGTGTGTGGTTCATGGCACACGTGGCACTTCTCACCAGAGTTCCTACACGCCCTCTGTGTATACGTCACTATTTCTTCTCTCAGTGCCACTGTGCACAACCCCTTCCTCTGGCTTGAGACCTGCCCCCCGATCCTCATGTTTGAGGGCCCAGGTCCGTTTTCCTCTCCTCAGCGTTCCAGCTGGATTCCTCCCTTCTGGGTTCGTAGACTGCCTTGCGTATTGGATAGATTCCTATACTGTTCTATACTGTTCCATGTTCTATTGAAATCCTCGGGGAACGTGGCCCTTTTTTAGATACAGTCATGTTCTTGAGGCTGGGATGTCCCTATTGTCATCTTCACATCCCTGGCACTCACCCCAATACTAAGTATGCAGTAGACACCCCAAGTACCTTTGTTGAGCTGAGCTGCTGGAATGAGCACTGAGCCCAGCTGACAGCCTCTCTGAAGGTGTGACGGAGGAGACACGCTCTCTGGGGTCATTTAGAGCCACTCTGGCAGTTGGCTCAAAGCCACCTTTCTGTTTCCAACCTAGATAGGCTTAGAGCAGCCCTTTCCCCAACAACTGCGCATGAAGGTCTCTTGGGGACTTGAAAAAATAGCCACGCCCATTCCTCCTGAATCAATTAGCGCTGAGTCTGTAGACTTCTATGCCTAGAAACCTAGAAGAGGCTCATGTGAGAGTCACAGAGTCAGATGCCTTGAAGAGACTGATGTAGGACAACAGAGACAGGTGGGAAATTTGCACAGTTGCCAGAGTTTACTTTTTCTAGAGTTACTCACATTTCTTGTTCTAAACACCCTGCTGGTGAAATAGACCCATTCGTGGCCCACATTTCATGGCTGCCCGTCCCCCACTCCACCTCATCAGAAGTCTCTGAAAGAGCCAGAACTTCAAAGCTGGCAGGGGCCACTCACAGCTTTTGAGGAAGCCCTTCCAACCCCTGAACACTGTGTCCACCCAAATCCCTGCCCGGGTCACAGCCACCACCCTCCATCCTCAGGCTGGAATATGGGTCTCAGAGCCCAAGTTTAGGGGTCAGGTCCTTGTGCCTTTTGTGTAGACCAATACCCGGGCAGGGAGATACACAAAACTAAGCATGCTTTAACGTGGGTGTTGGTTCTCTTATTTCCTTTATGATCT